ACACACACACACACCCACACACACACACACACACACACACACACACACACCATTAGAACTGCACAGAGAATACAAGAAGGGCTTAAAATACGGCACCAGTGCACACATTCACACAGGAACGAGAGGCTGCATTAGCCCACATACGGTCTGAATATAAGCGAGAGGTAGGAGGAGCCCTGTCATATACTGTATATATAAGCTGGAGGGAAAGATAGATAGGAGAGCCACCTGACCTACATATAATAAAGGTATTTTACGTATGCATAAATGGCATTCCAAGCTCAGTCATCGGATGCACAACTCAAAGCTCGAGCGAATGAATCACTTTCCATTCTCCAAGCAGTGTGCATGGATGGGAGAGCCATCTAATGAGTCAGCTGGAGAGATGCGAGGAGCTTATGCAGCGCAGATACGCAAAAACTTTTCATGCATGATGCATTAACACCAGCGCTGAATGTAGGTTACTTGCATATTCTGAGGCCGTGTGATTCTCATGTATTTGGTGCACCGACACTTCTTGCATCTTTTTAAGGCATGCTTAAGTTCAGCCGGAATATGATCAAGATAACCCACTTACATTCCACCAACTGCTATTCTTAGAAGAAGTGTAAACATGCAATATGCAAATAAAATATCACAGATGTTGCAAGATTTACCTAGCCTTATCTCCAAATGACTACAGCCCCATTGACTCCCTCTGCCAATGCATTGATGAAATTAACGGGCCATGGAGCACAAAAGCAGTCTTAAGTCGCTGGGGTATATTTGTAGCAATAGCGAACAATATATTGTATGGGTCACAATTACCAATTTTTCTTTTATGCTAAAAATCATTAGGATATTAAGTAAAGCTCATGTTCTATGAAGATATTTTGTAAATCTCCTACCGTAAATATATCAAAACTTAATTTTTGATTAGTGATATGCATTGCTAAGTACTTCATTTGGACAACTTTAAAGGCAATTTTTCAATATTTAGATTTTTTTGCACCCTCAGATTTTCAAATAGTTGTATCTCGGACAAATGTTGTCCTATCATAACAAACCATACATCAATATTTGGACAACTTTAAAGGAAATTTTCTCAATATTTTGATGGAAGCATAGCTCTAACAAGTTAAAATACTGCAAAAGAGAAATATCTTAAAAAAAAAATTTCCTTAGAAACTAGGTGGAAGCACCTGCTGCTGAAATCATTCTTGCTTTTATTGTTTCGTTTCAAGCCATCGTAGATTTGTTGGTTGGTGTTTTCACGGCGAGTAATGAGTTAAAATACTATAAAAAGAGCCTATTTTTTAAATTTGCTTTGAATAGAAACTCTAAAATGCATTCAGGATCGACTGTTCGGAATTTCTTCACGAGAGTTTCCGTTATCGCAGAAAATAGATGGAAGAATCTACTGCTGAAATCTGTCTTTCTTTTGGTTTTTCATTTAAAGCCATCATAGTTTGGTTGGTTGGTTGGTGTTTTCACGGCAAGTAATGAGTTAAAATACTATAAAAGAGCCAATTTTTAAAATTAGCTTTGGATGAAAACTCTAAAATGCATTCAGGATCGACTCTCAGAATTTCGTCACGAGAGTTTCCGTTATCGCAGAAACTAGATGGAAGTACCTGCTGCTGCAATTTTTCTTGCTTTTGATTTTTCGCTTCAAGCCATCCCTCTCTTTGTTGCTGGTGAAGGGTAACATGGAGGCATAGCCGTGCTCCGCTTCTGCAAATCCAAACAGAGACATTTAGAAGCTCATTAGACCACAAAGCACACCGGCTACCTGAAAATCAAAGCCATTGATTACAAATATTGACCATTTTTTAGAACCTGGGATGCAATACGTTACAATTAACCCATTTCTTGACAAATGTCTTGCTTTTGGGTCAATGATGTCATCTGAACTGGAGTAAACCCAATAGCCAGCAGAACCACAACAGATAGATGGGAGGGGAGATGCACCAGAAAACCCTCCACTGTATACCAACAGCAGTGCTTGAAAAATGCATTTCAGTTCCACATTTGCACACAAACGTAATAAAAAATCATTAAAAATATATATATGCTATAAACGCTTGGGTTTTATCCCTAGAGAGCGTTAACAACACATTACTGTCCCCTGTAAAAGACAAGTGTATGGTGACTAGCCAGCACGCAGTCTCAGAAA